ACACACACACACACACACACACACACACACACACACACACAAACTATGTTTACCTGTAAACATGTGGACAGGTGCCTAATCTGTGCCTAAAAGATTTAAATTAGGAAAAATAAAATAACTTTAATTCCAGACAAAAAGAGTAACATTGGCAAGATCATTCAACCGGAGGAAAAAAAAAAACTCAAGAGACTCACTGAATGTGGACTGGAAATAAATTAGGTTGGTAAATAAAAACAGAGGACAGATGAGCTGACAAAAGGCAAGACAGGACTGTATATACACATAGGGTTGATTGAACAGTGAAGCACAGATGGGAGCAGTAAATTACAAAGAGGGAAGACAAAGGCAGGAAATAAAAGAACAAGATATACACAAGGAAAAGCAAGTGTCAAAATTAAATTGTAAGGGAAAAGCAGAGAGAGAACTAATACAAAGACAAAAGAGAAGGAGACATAAACAGTGGAGAAAAATACAAGCATATGAAGTACTATCCATAAAAAATCTAAGAAACCAAAACAGGAATCTATTAAAAACCTGTACACACATAGTTCAGATAAAGGAATAACAATCCTTAAAATCACAGTTAGGAGCAACTCTGCTAATTTTTCAAAATCACAAATAATCATGAAAAACCTCAAGCTAATACTCCAACTGCAGTGGAGATGGGAGATACTTGTGAACATCAGCTACTGTTACTGTACTGCTGTTAGCACTACAAATGATAATTTAATAACTACTTTGCCTTCATGTGGCTTACGTACTGTGTGTGTTCTTGTTCTAGCTGACCTATTTGACATCCTGCTGCCGATGCTAAACATCTACCAGGAGTTTGTGCGTAACCATCAGTACAGCCTGCAGGTTTTGGCCAACTGTAAGCAGAACAGAGACTTTGACAAGCTTCTAAAGCAGTACGAGTCCAATGCTGCCTGTGAGGGGAGGATGCTCGAGACCTTTCTCACATACCCCATGTTCCAGGTAGATAACGACCATCAGCATCCTCTTGTATTCACAAACAAACCGTAACATGACTCCAACATGTGTGTTTTTCTCAATTCTTGTCTCCATGTGCTACTGTGCTCTTTCCTTCAACAAGATTCCTCGTTACATCATCACCTTGCATGAATTACTGGCTCACACCCCTCACGAGCATGTGGAGCGCAAGAGTCTTGAATTTGCCAAGTCCAAATTAGAGGAATTGTCCAGGTATGTGTCAGAGTCGTCTACTTCTATTAAAATTCTTGTTGTTGAATCCTGAACAAACTTGTGTGTTTGTGTGTGTGGCCAGAGTAATGCACGATGAGGTGAGCGACACAGAAAACATTCGTAAGAACCTGGCTATAGAACGGATGATAGTGGAAGGTTGTGACATCCTGCTGGACACCAGCCAGACGTTCGTCAGACAGGGTGAGTCTTCATCAGTGTAGAGCAAACCTCAACGACAGCAGATCTTTGAAGGTTTCCTGGATAGTAAGAAATTCCTTTTCTGTCAACTTGTTATCAGTAACTCGGTGAAGTTGGAAATCTTTCATTGTCTCATGGCCTTGGCTATGTGGCAAGGTTTGTCTCTCTGTCAGCTTTTCCAGTTATAATGTAGATGTGGTACTGAATGGTACATATTTTTCTGAGTATTAGAAAGTAACGAGACTGTCTGGACCAAGGGTGTAAGCAAGAACAGACTGTGACTGGTTGGACGGCTGCACCAAGAAGGCTCCTTGGGATAATAATTGGCCACCCCTGGTCTAGACTGTTTGACTGCTAAAGAAGCCTTAATGGATTATTAACTAAGTGTTATACTGTGTATGATTCCTTTAAGTCACATCTCACCTACATGATGCACTTAGACCATGACCACAGTTTTCCCCACTGCGCAGACAAATAGATTGGTCAATATCACCTGTGTAGGCTACAGTCTTGAGAAAAAGAAAGGTTTCACAGGACTCTATGTACAGTCCTGTGAAAAATGTAGTACACCTTTTCTGCTTCAGTGGGAATTAAGAGGGTAAATAACAGCCAAACGCTACCTCTGTAACAGCAGAAAATTTGCAAGTTTGCTGGTCTGGAGCATTCAGGTTTATATTTCCACAGTCTTCCCAGGAGTGGACCTCCCTGCAAATTCGTCCCAAGGTCAGACTGTGCAATTCTCAGAGTAGTTGCAGAAAACCAAACACAGCATATCAGCACCAAGACCTCATACCAACCATCACCATTGTGGTGAGGGGGTGATGATTTGGGTTTGTTTTGCAGCCACGGGACCTGGGTGTTTTACAGTCATTAAGGGGTCCATTAACTCTTCTGTATACCAAAGTATTCTAGAGCAAGAAATAAGAGTTTAATAGAAACCTTAATACTGTTGAAGTGACATACCTGCATTCATCTATGGATATAAGAACTATTACTGTGACTTAATCTGTAATCTTGCTTCTGTTACAGTTAAATCCTTTTAATCAAAATTATGCAGTTTTGTGCGGATGCAATTTTCCACTTAAAGTGTGCATTTTTGGGTCATAATACCTGCTAGTACAGGAGGTGGAAGACAAATGTCAAGTTTCCTTATAAATGCGCTGTAGAGAAGACAGAGATTTTTCTCCTGCAGCTGAATCACACATCACAAAACGAAGTCCTGATGCCAGTTTTGACAGTGCACTTTACTGATCCATGGTTCCTGTCTGCTTTTAATCCACAGGGAGTAACTTTTGCCTCTAAACCTGCCTGTTTCAAAGATTGACTCCTTTTTTTAATCTCATTCACTGTCATGTTGAGACACTTAACATCACTTTTTCATGTCTGTGTTTGTGGCATTGTAAATGCTACACATCCCTCAGCTTACTGCCGGTTTCATCAAATGTAACATCCTGCGTGTCTCCCGCTCCACAGGGTCTCTGATCCAGCTGCCATCGGTAGAGCGAGGGAAACTAAGCAAAGTCCGCCTGGGGTCCCTCTCTCTGAAGAAGGAAGGGGAAAGGCAGTGTTTTCTCTTTACCAAACACTTCCTTGTTTGCACACGCAGCTCTGGGGGAAAACTTCACCTTCTCAAGGTGAGAACAGGGTTAACCTTACAGTGTATCTATACCTCAGCAAAGACATTTCTTTTGTAAATCAACATTCATTTTCATCCAAATTACCAATAAATAGTTGTGCATATTTTCTCTTAAACTATTGCAGCAAGGTGGAGTTTTGTCCCTTATTGACTGCACACTTATTGAGGAACCAGACGCTAATGATGAAGAGTGTAAGTATATCGCATCAATCAAGTACTATGTCCATCCTATCAATACATGCACAGCTCATGGCTCATTTAGTTCCCTTACCACTCACTGAGGTTAATTAGGTGTCAGGTGATAAGTGCCTGTGACTTCCCTTTAATTATCAAACGCTCACCCCTTTAAATGTCAGGTTTAGCTCTTTTAACATTACAGATCCATTAGTTTTTTTGTTTTGCTTTTTCCATTTTGCAATTAGGGAGTCTGATGAAACATCTACACACAAAAAGTGTTGAGACAAACACATACATGTGTACACTTCATTTTTACACCTAAGCCTCAGAGGGGTGTAGAGGGAATATAGCAGGTTAACCCTAATTAACCCGCTGTGTGTATGTGTGTGTAAAATATGACTGTGTATGTGCAAGCATTTTATTTTTACATTAATTATGAATTATTGATCGTTGTAGTTTAAAAAGCTCATTGTTTTTCATCTATCACAGCAAAAGCTGGTGGTCAGGTGTTTGGTCAGCTGGACTTTAAGCTTGTCGTAGAGCCATCAGACGCGTCTTCTTTTACTGTGGTGTTGCTGGCGCCGTCACGACAGGAGAAAGCTGCCTGGACTAGTGATATTAGCCAGGTACTACATAAATCATGCAAATATACACCCAGACAAAGACAAAAAACAAGGACCTTCAAATAACGAGGGCATGTCTCCGTTGGGCATTGAGATGGCTTAGTAAACACAGACTGTGGTGCAGTTCCCCAGGGCCGAGTTCAGCTCAGTGCCTCAGTACTTCACAAACAGGGTAACACCAAACAAGCATGTCACTCTGCATTAATTCTAGTCAGGCACAAAAAAAAAATACACTTACAGTTTTAAATAACTTTCTTTTTTTAGTGCCTTCAACGAGACTTGTGAAACAGTGTCAAAGAGTGTGCTGTATTTACTGTTAATAAAAAGGAAGAAAACAGATGTTCAGTACGATATTATTTTAGAATAGATCTGGAACACTTATCTGCTTTAAATGCTGTAGCTTAAAAAATACATGATAATAATTATATATGTAATTCTCTTTCTTTTTTCATTTGCTCATCTCGCTACTCTCGTCTCTCCGTCTCTGCAGTGCATAGATAATATTCGCTGTAATGGCTTGATGACCAGTGTGTTTGAGGAAAACTCAAAAGTCACAGTGCCTTATATGATCAAGTAAGTATTTTTGTGTGTGTGAAGAGAAAGCTATCTCTTCATGCCACGCACGTGTCGCAGAACATAAGCTGTGATGGCACATCTGGTTAAAAATATGGTTTTTTATGCTTGTTTCCTTTTAATTTATGCTGTTGCTGAAATCTGCTTGACGGTATTCCCTTATTTGCGTCCTTTCTTTGAAATATGTGGGTTTTATATTAATTTTTTATCTTCCTTGGCTGTTTTTGCTCAGTTACTTTCACAACCTTTGCCTAGCTTAGCAACCCAGCAGTCACCCATGCTTGGTTATGAGTTTGTGTGTGTGTGTACGTGTGTATCCATCAGATCCGATGTGCGTCTCCATAAAGATGATGTTGACATTTGCTTCAGCAAGACGCTCAACTCCTGCAAGGTCCCCCAGATCCGTTATGCCAGCGTGGAGCGGCTGCTGGAGAGGCTGACCGACCTTCGCTTCCTCTCCATAGACTTCCTCAACACCTTCCTGCACACATACAGGATCTTCACCACAGCAACCGTGGTCATGGACAAGCTGGCTGACATCTACAAGAAGCCCTTCTCCTCCATACCTATCAGGTCTTACCATTCACACATGCAAATATCCATTCACAAACACAGATTGAAAGCAGATTCTGTACATGCTCATTGCTACCGTGCAGATTGAAGCGCCTCATAAATCCTCAGGGAAATACTGTTTACTGGTTTGAGCTCCATCAAATTTTTATGAACATGGGCACATTTATTCCGGCCAGTATTTGTGCCCTTTGCAAACACAAACACACACAATCTTGTATATTGCCATTACCTGGGTGTTCTGAGAGGGTTTTATGAGCGTCCTTTTACTTGTTTTTTTGTAAATATGTGAATGATGTAGTCAGATGTGGGTCAGTGTTTTGGAAGAAGCAAGCAGCTTTCACCTCTGTCCACACGGTTAAACACATACTAACTGAACTATAAACTGGCCTGTTTTTGGAGACCAACTGAACAGATGCTTCAAACAGTTTTTGGCAAAGTCGTAGGAATAATCAGTGTGTTAGATGAGACGTTTCTCTGTCTCTCTACTTTTCTGAAGCTCTCTGTCTTTCTCTCTCACTCGTGGCTACATCAAAATTGTCTGTTTATATTCCTTTCACAGCTTTACTTAACTTAGCTTTTCAACTGGAAAAGCTTTGCCTTTTCCTCCACCCGAGGGTTGGTTTTAAAATGTCTTACCTCACTCACTGTGGCCTGTGGCCTTCCTTCCTGGGAAGAGAAAAGGAGAGGGGCATCCAGGCACCAGAGCGGTGCGGGAAGATGAACCACCCTGTGTGAAGCGATGCCACTTCTTTACTAAAGCTTTTTTTCCCCTCTCCTTTGTTCTCCAGAAAAAAAACTTTACAATAGGAGGTTTATAAGGGGATTTTTTTTATTATACTGGTGCTTTTTAGCCATGCTAGTAAAAGGGTCTACCTCTATGTTTTAGACAGAAATATCACGTTAATGAGTGGATGGATTTACTCTGAAACTGTGAAATTCTGCAGTGATTCGTGGGCAGAGAATCTATTGCAATACAACTTTTCCTTTAACTTCTTGTCTGATTCTATCATTGGGTCAAATTCTAAACATTGTTTTAATTTAAGTCCAGCCCACCATGAAAACATCCAATTGTTTGTTGACCTGTATTTAAGCCTCAGTTTTAGCTTTGCATATTTTGATGAGTGTGGAGTGCTAAGTCATCAGCTAACTCTATTAATGATGGTAAAGGTGAATTTACACTCTGTGCTGGTTTAGTGTTGGAACAAGACTCAAATGGCTGACAGATGAAGTGCTGACCTCTTTTTTATTAGTTTTTCTAGATTAAAGAAGATGATGCCAACTCTCTGAGCAAATGCACTGCATAAAACCTACATACATGTACAAAAACCCAGCTCTGTGTTTTTGTGCTGGAGTTTTCTCCCATGTGGTCATGTGCTGACATCTCGGACACTGAACATGTGCTGCTGTTGTCTGACTCACACACTTTCTGTCCCCTTTCTCAAACACACCTTTACTCTTCTGAGACATTTGTTTATCATCACTCCATATTCTTATCTTAAACCATCCTCTATCTCGTTACATTTTGTGTCATCCATGTCCCTTGTCTCTCCATATCCCCTCCAGCTACAGGATGCAGTACCACTCATTTGACCGTCTGTCCATCTCACCCATTTGTTCTGACTACAGTCTGAAGATCAAGAAGATTGCCATGGATCAGTCCAAGTAACCAACGCTCTTCTTTCTGCCTCCCTTCTTGCTATCTCTGTCCTACTTTCCTGCTTGTTCTTCTTTTCTTCTGCTATGATACTTAACTGATGCATGACTTTCCTCTCTACTTTGCCAGAACAGCTCTTTATATGAAAACTCACAGGTATTGTGATTCCACCAGTTTTAAATCAACAATATAAAGATGGGAATGGGAGAAATTATGAAATAATTTTCTTAAATCTTTAGCTGATCTGTGGCATGTTTTATCACAGAAGTATCGCGTCCTTCAGGCTTTTCTATCTATCTTAACCACATTTATCCCTTTTACTATTCTCCTCCAGTCCCTCATCTTCTGCCGCTTGCGTCCTCTTTTTCTATTCCCTGCTTCAAAGTACTTTGGTATTGGTCGTCTCTGCGTTTCCTGTATCTTTTCTTCCCTTATGCTGCTATCATTTCTCTCCCTCCTCTTTCTATCTGGATTGCAATTTCTTCCCTTGTTTCCTGCTGAATAACAGATTTGTGTGAATAAATGATGACTGTGAGCGTGTTTATCTACGCATGATTACTTCTTTCTCGATGTAGCTCTGTACACACAAGTCTGTTTGAAGGGTAAATGTCATCATAAGATTGATAATCCAAATGCTTGTTGATTAAAGCTTTTACACGCTTTCATTGCCTGCTAAACAAAGCATTTCAAATGTTGCAAATCTGCAATAAAAGATGATTTTTGGTTTTTTTTCTGCTGAACACATTTTTGTTGATTGTGATTTTGCCATGTAAAGCACACAAGTACTAAAATCCTAGTCTTTCCAGTTTGTTGACATGTTATATATTCACATTATAGTTTTAGCCCAGTATGATCTAGCAGTTTTAGGACAGGGGACATGAACAATCATCACAACAACTATAGATAATGCAGATACTAAATGTTTCAAATGCACAAATCAGTCACCTTACCTTTGGTGTACTAATCAAGTACGGCAAGTAGTTCCCTAAACCACTGCCATGACACTTTAAGCTGGCTCTATAAATGAAAGCTTTTAAATTTTGTTCAACAGCTAATCTCCAACTGTGGTCACTGATTTTAATATACCTTCTTCATTTAAACCTTCAATGATGGCACAAATGAGACTAAACCCAAGCAGTTCCAGCTCATAAAAAGAAAGCAGCTACTAGATAAATACCATAAAGTTTCATAGTGCTAAGGAGGACTCCACAGTTTGATGACGAGTCTCTCTGGGTTCAGCTTAATTAGAGCAGCACTGAGTTAGCTTAACTCGTCTAGCCTCCGCCGTTATTTGAAAGTAGGAAGTCATGCATGCAAAGGTATGCGATTCCCACACTGTTAATTTAATATGTGTATAAATATCTGACTATTAAAGCTGACGGTCACCAGGGTAACCTCAAAGATGTTGTTTTATTTCTAGTTATTTCTCAGTGTAGAAGAGATGACTGTATCACAGTGAAAATTGTGTCACTGTTTTAATAATTTCTTACTGTACTGTATGTGCCCACTCGTTCTAATTCACTCTGGATAACCGCAGTAGCTGAATGTCCTACATTTAGTACTCTGTACCTCAGGCTTACCCAGTGCACTGTAAAATTTCAGATTCTTTCCCGAGCCACACTTTTCTCCTTTTTGACTTATGAAAACACACAGGGATATTGGATTCTGCCTCTAAATCAACACTTATCTCCAATACAGGAAAACAAAACAGCAAAACAAACAAAACCCTTTGGTAATGAAAGTTTTACAAAGACCAGCAGTTTTGTTTTGAGCTGATGCATCTCCAGATTCCTTTTTCTTTTGTCTTTTTTTTTTAAAAATACTTCTTCATTGATTTTCTTTTTGTTTGTTTTTAACAATTCCATTATTTTGCTAATACTTATGTTCCTTTTTAGGTCTTTGGAGCTGTTTTTTGCCACCAATCAAAATAACAGAGGCGTGGACCACGTGAATGACAAATCTCCTCGTCTCTGCCGCAAGTTCTCCTCTCCACCTCCTCTGTCCATCCCATCCCGGACCACCTCCCCCGTCCGAACTCGAAAGCTGTCCCTCCACTCCCCTATCACCGCCAGAGTCGGGGGCCTTGATCTGACCAGTCCTCTGTCCAATTACAGTGTCAACAACAACACTTCCCAGTCTGCTGGCAGTAGCCCCACATCTGCCCAGACACCAACACCTCAGACCCCAACCCCAACTACTTCCTCTCCTCCCCCCCCTCCCTCTTCCACCTCTCCTCCACCGAACAATTCTAAGCCAACACAAGACCAAGTTCCTCCTATTCCCTCCTCGCCTGACCAGAGTCCCTGCTCAACTGCAGAGGGAGAGGATGTCCCCAGAATTGACCCCTTCTGTGGAAAACTGCGACGGAGTATACGCAGAGGTATTTCATAGTTTCCCCTATTACACTTTTCAGAACATTAGGACTGAATATTGTTGAAATGTATCTGTTATTCTATGGTTTTCATTACTGTATTATAAGAAAAACAGGGAAATAATCATTGTCAACTTTTAGTACTTGAAAAATAATACAGATTATGTAAATAATCAAATAGGCACATAAATATATGAATGTTTCTCCTGTTTGTTAGCTTTAGGTTATTAGGTCAGACCGCAAAAATACTTAAATTAGGCTGAAAGCTTTCTGCTGCTACTAATATTGACATGAGGTTAAGCATATGGGGTCTGAAGTGTGCTTTGCTGCATTTGTAACAGTAGTAATGAGTGATAAGTGATGTTGCAGTGCACTCGCATTACCTGAAGTTCAGCAAGGAAAGATATTAAACCACCGGGGGTCAGAAAAACCTTTCACAGGTTAAAATTAACAGTAGATTCTTTTTAATTTTGCCTGCAGGTCAAAAAGCATGTCCGGTAACCTTTTCTGCTTCTTTATATCAAATAGCATCAGGCCACATGCTGTTAGAGACTATGTGCTGGACTATGTTTGTTGTTTAGGTATATTATCGGTGTATGTATTGCCACTAAACTTATACATTTAAAGAGTTGTTGGTGTACTAAAGGGTTTATGAAGCACTGAAGGTTACTAATCAAATGACAGAGTGAAGTGTTTCCTTGTAAGAGCATAACAAGTGCCTGGTGGGACATCATTATCTCCTGGCATTTGTGTGCCAAAGTCAGCTAAGCCGCCTTCCCACCACACACGGTCAGATCTTCTAATGGTAGTGTTAAACAGCTCTCTCAGGCTGGAGAGGTATAGCGTCAGGGCATCTCAGGCAACACGGTTTCAATTTGACACTCATCAATATTTGCACATGTGTATGGAGTGTGTGTGTGTGTGTATGTGCATGAGAGGTTCATGTGCTTCTAACCGCTTACAAGGAGACAAAGACCCATTAGCATTGGTACCACAGAGCCACTTCACCTCTTCTCTATACTGTCTCAGCTTCTTGGGCTCTTAATCAGTCAGTACATTCTGTGCTTATGTGTACCTGCAGCTAATGTGCATCCACGTATATGTCTGTTGATCTTTCTCTTGGCTTGTCTCCTTAATGTGTGTGCATATGC